TAAAAGGCGACAGAGGGAAACTGGGGCAGAGGATGGGCAGCAGCATCTTTCTGATAACAGCAAAACAACAATAAAAAAACTGCGGTTGCCAACCCGCCCGCCAAGCGTGGCAACTATAGCAATATACCTCCCATGAAAGTAACGAAGAGATGGCCCCCAGTCCCCGGCGGCCCCGCTATTCCTGGCTACAGTGGCGACCATGATAACGGCGGGGCAGGAGGTGCTAAGAATCTCCGGTGAAGGTTCTATTGCCACCTACGACGACTCGACCTGGCAACTTATAACGCACGCACCCTGAGGACTGACGAGAAGATCGTGGAGCTGGAAGAAGAGATAGACAAGTTGCGCTGGAATGTCATAGGATTATCCGAAGTCCGAAGAGAGGGGTGGGACACGGTAATCCTCGAATCCGGCAATTTGTTCTATCACCAGGAGGGCGACCATCTGTCCCAAGGAGGTGTCGAATTTATCGTCCACAAGTCTCTTGTTAAGAACGTTGTAAAGATTAGGAGTGTGTCGACGAGGGTTGCGTACCTTATACTCAGAATCACCAAACGGTATTCGCTGATGGTCATACAGGTTTACGCACCAACCTCGGAACACCCCGATGAGAAGGTGGAGGACATATATGAGGATATCTCTAGAGCCATGCATTCCTCCAAAACCTACTATACGGTGTTAATGGGAGACTTTAACGAAAAACTAGGCACAAGAGAGAACGGTGAGCTGAAAGTAGGGAATTTCCGGAATAGGGCAACGGAACCCAAGGGGCCAGCAGCTGGCCGACTTCATGGTGAAAAAGGGACTCTTTATGATGAACTCTTTCGTCTAGAAGCAGCCCCACAGTAAGTGGACCTGGTCGAGCCCCGACGGTTTGATAAAAAATGAGATTGACTTCATTATGACGACCAGACGACAACTGTTCAGTGATGTCTCAGTGATCGCGAGGGTGAAAACCGGTAGCGAACACCGAATGGTGAGAGGCACACTGAACCTAACCGTTGAGTTGGAGAGGTCACGTCTAATGAAGTCAACGCTCCGTCCCCCTTGTGCTCTAATCCAAAGTCCCGAAACCTTTCAGTTAGAGCTACGATAGTTTTCAGTGCCTAGAAGATTGCAATGCAGTGGACGATATGAATGACAATCTCGTGGAAACTGTCCATGCGGTTGGAGCTAAGTTTTGCAAGACCCGCCGCAGAAGAACACAAAAAATCTCCGATTACACTCTTGATCTCATGTCTATTAGACGGGATATGAAGCTGCAGTCTTCAGTAGATTTGACAGCATACAGGCAACTGAACAGACAGATCTCCAAATGCATGCGGTGGGACTTACGCAACTTTAATACTGCTCGTATTAAAGAAGCGATCGAGCGGAACCTGGACTCAAAAGTCTTTGCTAGAGATCTGTCTGCCAGAAAGAGCCAACTGTCGAAGCTGAAGACCGAGTGTGGCAGCGTCGTTTCTGGTACACCTGAGATTTTGAGTGAGATTGAGAGGTTCTATGGGCAGCTGTACATATCATCCTTTGAACCACACGTAATAAGTGTGAGTAACGATCCAATAGCGAGTTTTATCCGACACTATTCCGATGATATACTGGACGTCAGTTTGAGTGAGATTAGAATGGCTCTCCAGCACCTTAAAAACGGCAAGGCCTCAGGCGAGGATGGAATTACAGCGGAGCTTCTGAAAGCGGGTGGAAAACCGGTATTTGAAGTCCTCCATGGTGGCATTACACCGGAGGCGTGGAGCAGAAGTGCGGTGGTTTTGTTCTTCAAGAAAGGTGACAACGCTCTCTTGAAGAACTACAGACCGATTTCCTTTATGAGCCGCGTCTACGTGCTGTTTTCGAGAGTCATTACGTATCGTCTCGCGCGCAGACTTGACGACTTCCAGCCTCCCGAACAAGCCGGTTTCCGAAAAGGCTTTAGCACCATAGACCACATACACACCCTTCGACAAATTGTACAGAAATCCGAGGAGTACAATTTGCCACTATGTCGGGCATATGTGGACTATGAGAAAGCCTTTGATTACGTCGAAATTTGGGCGGTGCTGCAGTACCTTCAGCGATGCCAAGTTGACTGTCGGTATATCGAAGTGCTGAAGTGTTTGTACAGTAGGGCTACGATGGCTATCCGAGTACAGAACCAGAGTACAAAAGCTATCCAATTGCAGAGGTGTAAGACAGGGTGACGTTATATCCCCGAAAATCTTCACCGCTGCATTGGAAGACGTTTTCAAGCTTCTGGACTGGAAAGTATACGGTATTAACATCAATGACGACTACATCACTCACCTTCGATTTGCCGACGATATAGTCCTTATGGCAGAATCGCTGGAGGACCTAAGCACTATGCTTAAGGACCTCAATAGTGTTTCCCAACGGATAGGTCTTAAGATGAACATGGACAAAACAAAGATCACGTTTAATGTCCATGTCACACCTATGCCGGTATTTGTTGGGAGCACTAAGCTCGAAGTTGTTGACGAGTATGTTTACCTGGGACAAATAGTCCGACTAGGTAAGTCCAACTTCGACTGAGAGGTTAATCGACGGATTCAACTCGGCTGGGCAGCATTCGGGAAATTACGGCACATCTTCTCGTCAGGGGTTACTTATCTTCACGCACAATCCCTGACGGGGTAGCCAGAGAGAACAGATCGCCAAGTGTCACGATCCTTACATACCTCTTTCGCTTCTTTCAGATTCATTATCTTCTTCATACATGCACGTCTAGGTATCCGAGTACTCTTGACCCTCCCCTCTTCGAGCAATTTGCTCACATGGTCTTCGAAAGTTAGTCTCGGTCTACCTCGACACCTTTTAATATTAACTTTCGCGCTATATATTTTCTTCACCATTCGGTCTTCACTCATTCGCTCAACGTGCCCAAACCATCGAAGCACGCCCTTATCAATTTTTTTGATAAGGTCGTCTTTCAAACCTGCCATATTGCGAATCTCTTCGTTTCGCTTTCGGTCGGCCATGGTAACGCCGCAAATTTTACGAAGAGATCGCATCTCCACTGCATTCAACTTGCTTTTATGCTTCTTCTGGCATACCCAGGTTTCGCTGCCATATAACAAAGTCGGTACCAACACTGCGTTATGTATTGCAAGGCGTGCACTCTTCACTATGCCTTGCCTTTTGACTAACGCAGTCAGGGCACCATTGACTTTGTTCCCGGCAGCGACACGCCTGTCCACATCTAAATCACATCTTCCATCCCGGCTAAAAGCACTCCCCATACAATCTTCTTTACATCACATCTTCTCGTCAGGTATACCTCAAAACTTGAAAACGAGACTGTACAACCAGTGCGTGTTGCCAGTGATGACCTATGATACTGTGACGTGGTCCTTCACTGCTGGCCGGATGAGGAAGCTCAAGGTCGCTCAGCGAGCTATGGAGAGGGCTCGGAGTTTCTCTGCGTGATAAACTTAGAAATGAGGATATCTGCAGTAGAACCAGAGTGATCGACGTAGCCCAACGAATTAGTAAGCTGAAGTGGCAATGGGCCGGCCATATAGCTCGAAGAACCGACAACCGATAAGGAAAAACGGTTCTCGAGTGGTGGCCTCGTACCGGTGGACGAAGTGTAGGGCGTCCCCCCACTATACGGAGTGACGGCCTGGTAAGATATGCAGGAAGTCGATGGATGCAGGTGGCTCAGGACCGTGCTTTGTGGCATTCCTTGGGGGAGGCCTATGTTCAGCAGTGAACTTGTAAAGGACTGTAATGATGATGATGAATAACTTAAAGTCAATATATAATAATTTGAATTCAATGCAAGCGTTTTTGTTCCTTTTATGATATCTTTACTCTTCATTGGGGCCCCCCAACAAATTTTGATACAGGGCCCATCTAAGGCACGCTACGCCACTGCTACATACATAGGTACTCCTTCTACAAGAAAGAACTCTCCCCAAAGTTGTTGTTATTACGACCAATTAAGATAGGCAAAGGTCGTAAACCATACAACTTAGTCTTATGTGTATCTTCATAATTCTAGAATAAAAAGTAAAAGCAGAGTTCAAAGAACAATTTATTATTTCCACATTATATAGCTTCACAAGTCGGGTGACAAGACTTTAATGTAGCGCTAAGCGCTCTTCAGTGTGTCGATCGAACATGCAGGCCGCTGTCGCCGTCTTACAAATGGATGTGCATATGTACCGCTATGCCGATTTCACTCATGGTGATGGTTTGTTTAACACCTTACCATTCATTGCAGGTATCTTACAACAGCCCCTACGTCATAATTTCACCCAATCATTATAAATTCCGTGTGGTAGTCTGTTACGAAAACGTACCCTGCGCAATAAATACCACTCTCAAAGCTTTCAACTACGATCACACTACCATCAGAAATGCTTCTGCCGCACACATCGCGAATGTTCGCGCTGTATGTAGTCAAATATTTGTGAATACTTCGTCACTTCGTGCTAAGTCGCAAGCACATCGCTTCGCTGTTAGAACATCTAAGCGTTTTATCTCGATAAACTTCGCTTGTACTTCTGTCGACCTACAGACATCGTGTGTAGCGAACGTAGAAGTAAATTAAGGTTTGTGACGTATATTTTAAGTAAGGAGAAGATAAATAATTTGATGAGACATTTTGAATAAATAATGCAGGGGTCTAAAGCTAGCCCCTGTTGCCAAAAATATAGTAAAAGAAATTATTTCATGCCATAAAATATAGAGCGATTGTGGTGTCCATTTTGAGTTTATTGCGATAAACCAAAGACTCCAATGTTATATAGGGAACGATAAACTTAACAACGCGCAATGTGGCCAGGCACATACGCCGTAGGCCGAAAGCGAAGTTTTATCGCCGCAATACTATCGTGATATGTGCGGCCTAGGCAATAGAATAGTAGTCAAGCACTGGTTAGTAGGTAGGAATGAAGGAGTAGTGCAGTACAAGCAACAAAAATTAATAGTAACACTTCATAATATTAATAAGTAAATTAAAATAAAAGTATATTATTTTACATCATTTCATTTATTTGCTCAACTTATTGACAATTTCGAAAATCACAGTTAATATTTCTGACAATTGTTTTTGTAACTATCATATTACATGACAACAGCTGCCAGCTATGTAAATTGGGAGTGGGTATAAAATGGTATTTTTATAAATATTATTAATTTTATTGGCCACAGTATGTTATTACTAATGTTGGGTAATTATTAGATCTAAATGAGGATAAAATTTATTTAAGAATGTTAGAGAAATGAAAGATTTTATAATGAAGTAGTAGATAAATTATTAACAGTTAATTTTATTTTTAAAATAAAGTATGATATTAGTTCAAAACAATGTGAAATACACGAAAATAAAAAATACCTAAAAACTTCGACTAGGCGACGCAAAGTAAGAAAGAAGCAAAAACCCAATGACAAAATGTTTAAATTAAGGCAATCTACAATTCAAACCAAAGGAAAAGCATGTTTGTTAAATCTATGGGAATTTGTATGAAAAAAATCACAATAAGTCCATTGGAATAACACCTATAGTTACAATAAAATAATAGATTGGTGTCACCTGTGATACCACTTACAATTTAGTACTTAGAAATATTTTAATGGTGGGATCGTAGCTCCTCTATATACAACACCAACAATTTCAATATTATACTTATTACAAACACTCGAGTCACCTACAACTTTTTATGTCACACAGCTTTGTACATAATGTGCGCCAAGTTACTAGCGCCTATACTAGCTCCGCCTTGTCACAAATTTGTGTGAGGCAAATTGCACAGACCATATCTGATCACAACTGTGTGACATAAACTTTACATTATTATTGCATTCAATTACCGCGCTACTTTCAAGTATGATCAAAAGTACTGTTTTGAAGGACCTTTCCAACAATTAAATTTTCATAGGACTGATAAAAACATCAACTGCATCTCACATTATGAAACTATTAGAATATTTTGGAAATATTGTTAGCCAATGGGATCAATGTCTGTGATTAAATACTTCATGACACAGACAGTACGAAGTACCAAATACGAAGTGTAGGTTGAATATACATATTATTAATTTACATTTAAAATAACTGTAAAAGAACTTTCACAGAAACGACGTATATAAAATATTAAACTCCGAGCCTACATCAAAAACTACAACGCGCAAAAAGCGTCCAGCTTCTTAACATACACATTAAAAGTAATCATTTAAAAGCGGTACCACTAAACGACAAAAAATATTAGGATCGAATATCGTCTTGAGATCAATCATAGTAAATGAAAGGGATGAATCCTTGGATTCACAACTAATTATACGAACACATCCACAGGCCAATCTCACTCACAGCACAAATACACTGCGTTTATTCTATATAGTAACAATACAGTTAGCCGGCGTAGAACTCGAGCATGTGCCATGTGGTGTACAACTCTACTGCAGTATATATAGAGGGATCTGTTACTCCTGACAACACATCATCAGCAATTCAATTTACACTGATTCAATTAGTGGTTACATTAGTTTCACATCTTTTAAGTGGCTATGCAATAATATTCAATTCAAAAGTTTTCATTTATAAATTTACTAATGACAATTCACAACAGGTATTTCAGCCTACACCATGACAATTAAAATGATGCATTGCTGCTTCAGCAGTTTTGTAGTTTCATGGTCTGTACTCAACAATGTCTTGCATAAAATTGCATTTATTATATTAGGAATCTGCTTTACCACTTAATTGTTATAATGAAATTATATCTTCCACTGAATCCAATGTGCTTTATAGTGTTCAACTGCAGTATAGTGTCCATTTCACTAATGCAACACAACCGGGCACTCACTATATTAAACAGTTCACAGCACGCTTGGGTTGGCTAGAAATGTATGCTTCAGACCCTTCAATCCGCGTAGTAGTGGAAGGGTTGGGTCCCGCGCGTGTCTTTGGTATTACGTAGGGTGTGAATCGAATCCTAGGCTTGTTTCACTCTTTTACGAGGCGGTCCGATTGGGGGGATTTGTTGCTGTTGTGTGGCGAGAGCTCGGAAAGCCTCCGCTATGAGGTGTGGATGTGACGAGATCATGTTTTTCCAACCGGCAGTATCCATAACATCCGTCGCGTGACTCCTGAAACATAGCCATTATACACTAAAACTAATGCCTAAACTAGAAGAACTAAAACCTTAACGTTAACTAAAATATATGAAAAAAATATTTGAGAAATTTGCTTTAAATTTTACAGTATGCGAAAAGGTCAGGATCGATACCCGCCAATGGTTATTTGCAATTTAAAGTGCCGATTTATCACATCCTTGGCGGTATAGGAAAACATTGTAAGGTAACTGAGGTAATGTGCACAAGGACAAGTCCGCTTACACGCTCTGGAGCAGTGCCGTTGATATTTCACACTTCCTTTTCAGAAATGATATTATGAGGTATATACACCCAGCAGTGTGATGTATAAGGGCTGTAACTGAACTTAGTTTTCATATATTGTGGATCAAGTGATTGATAGAACATTATTAATGGTGTGAACAGTGTGAGAACCTATAACGGGAGGTTAACAGGTCACTACAATACTTTATTCAAAATATTCAATTGACCTGACTATAACAAACTAATTATTTCACTTAATGGGCAGAATCACACATTCAGAAAAGAGATGTCTGTTTAGAAAATATGTGTTTTATTAATTTATTCTTCCATTTTTTTAATTCTTTTTAATACGGCAAGAACAAATAGTATTTAAGTATTAAATTAAAAATATAAAATTAACTCAGTTTTAAGTATAATTTTGATCTATGATTTTAAAACGTGAAAATAAACTAAGAAGCACACTAAGATATTTTGTTGTAACAACAGTACTTTTTAATGTAGAAAACGATTAATGATCCAGTAATTGGCATTTTTTTTATTCTGTTATTAGGTATTTTTGTCAAGTAATATCAGCAGCAATAGGTAAAGCTGCATACATAAGTATACCGAAGTTCAGGTAAATCTAGGTTTCAAATTTTTAGGCTTCAATAACATAACAAATAGACCCTGTTATAAATAATGATGTATAAATAATTTTTAATTATAGGGCCTGATTTGACTTCACATTATTCACACTACCTGGACATCATAGATATAATCATCATCATTATGAGCTAATACGTAAATCAAATATAATTGTACAAATAAAAGCATAAAAATCAATAAGATCAATGGGACTGACGTGTTGATGAAGTCAATGGTCTGAGCTTTGAGCTGGTCTGCTGAATGTAGGTCCGCCAATATGAGTGTGTCAGCCGCCGTTTCCACCGACAGGCTCAAGCAAAGAGCCTCTTCACACATTACTTTTAATCTGTCTAGCGCGTACTGAAATTAAAAAGTTATACATATGATTAATTTGATGATGGGTTATAACATGTTTCTTAGGGGTAGTGGTCAAAGTACAACAAGTCTAAATGAGGTCAGAATACCTTACACTAAATGCTGAATTCAAATATAAGCTGGATTAAGATATTTATGAAGCTTTTTTTTATAGGATAGGGTGACAATCGAGCACATAGTCTACCTGATGGTAAGTAGTTGCTGTGGCCCATAGACATCTACATTTATCCTCGTTTGCGAATCAAAATGCAGATGCGTTGTCACCCGTGAGGACTAAGATGGAATGCCTCTTTTCCAGTAAAAAGGGTCTCCGGTTCTCTACACTCACCATACGAAACACAGCAGTGTTAAGCTACTATTTTACGCTGGTATTCTGTGAGAGCTGAAAATTTGAAATGAAATTTATGTGGTTAAGTTGTGAATGTCTTTGTGTATTTGAGACTGCATCTAGTTGGTAATACTAATATTATTGCATAAGTATTATATTGGACACGAGCTTCTAGCAGTATGTTATGTAGTTGCTGTAGATATACGCGGCTGGGCGGACTACCATAGTTATCATAATAATGTTCAGAACATACAAATCAACTGTTGGATATGTTAGCTTCCCACAAGGTAGTTGGATTTTTGTATTCGCCACATATGGCAAGTGGACTGATCACCAGTAACAATTAACACATATCATTACAGCCCTTCACAAGTCTACTGCTGAACATAGGCCTCCCCCAAGGAATGCCATAAACAAAGTAAGGCCCTGAGCCACCTGCATCCATCGACTTCCTGCATGTCTTACCAGGTTGTCACTTTATCTAGTGGAGGGCTGCCCTACACTTTCGTCTGCTCGTACGAGGCCGCTACTCGAGAACCTTTTTCCCCCCATCGGTTGTCAGTTCTTCGAGCTATATGGCCAGCCCATTGTCACTTCATTGTCTTATTCTAAAGCCAAAGTTAATGGCAGTCCCGCAATTCATCGGAAGTAACAAAATTTTGGTCTTTTTTTCACTATAACAATAGCATTTTTGACGTGAAGACTTCTTTAGAATCGTTGTGATTTGAAATCGCTGTGATTTGTATGTGGTAGAGCCATGTTGCAGCTATATTAATAGTATACGTGAGGCACGAATGGGTCGGCTCGACCGAGGAACGAAAACGCTCTCACAGAATACCGGCGTAATATAGCATCTTAACGCTGCTGTTTCGTATGGTTAGTGTAGAAAACCGGATACCCTTTTCACTGGAAACGTGGCATTCCATCATAGACCTCACGGGTGACAACGCATTTGCATTTTGAGCCTCAATCGAGGATAGATGTAGATATCTATGGGCCACAGCAACCATTTACCATCAGGTGGACTGTGTGCTCGTTTATCACTCCATCTTATACAAAAACTCGATGATACGAAAGGCGACACTAAAAAGAGACAAACATATACATCTATAGGATTTAGCCTGTGAGAGAATGAGAATACATTATACAGTGATTCGTATTGTCTCGTTCTCCTTTCTGAAGGTTTCACTTCCACTGCATGTGAAATGCACACATGTTTTTTTATTCATTCAAGTAATCGTCAAAACAAGCATATATTCCACCACCTGATAATAAGATATTGTAGTCCATACGCCACCTACATTCTATTCTCGATAAAGAATTAAAATGCTGATGTATTGTCACCTCTGCGGATTTTAAAGATTAAAATCATTAATTCAACGTTATTCTGCGCGATATAAAAATGCTGCGAGCATTTTTTTATATCTACGCAGAGTTACGCTTACAAAGCAGAGATTTATAAACAATTAGAGGTGTTTTATTCATGCTTTATTTAGTTGCTTTAGGCTGAATTAATTATGCCGATAAACAACATTATTGCCTGATATAAGTGAAATTGTACACAATATTAAACAGTATCTATACACTTACTTTGTCGGCTGCTGCTAATAGGTCATCGGCCATTTTGTCCAGATTTGGCGCGCGGTCCGTGTAAATAAAACGTAGCATCTCTCGCAAAACTTCGTGATCTACGTCGGTTATGTCCACTCTATTTCTTTTTCTTTCCTCCATTTCATGTTCGAACATAGCCGCGAACACAGGACTTCGCGCTGAAAAAATAATACAATATCTTTTATACGTGGTTGTAGCACAAATGTGTTGGCTCGACCTGGAAAGGACGACGCTCACACAGAATACCAGTGTAAAATAGCAGCTCAATGCTGTTGTGTTTCGTATGGTGAGTGTAGAGAACCGGAGACAGAGACCGTTTTACTCGATAAGAGGCATTCTATTTTAGTCCTCAGGGATGCTAACGCGTCTGCATTTGAATTCTTATTCGAGGATAGATGTAGATGTCTAAGGGCCATAGCATCCACTTACGCTTGTCATCCATATTCTAAAAGTAAAGTAAAGTTGCAGTCTATTTACGTCCCACTGTTGGGCACAGGCCTCCTCTCATTTCTGAGAGGGTTTTAGGGCAAGGAAATGTCCGCCGCGTTGCCCCAATGTGTTTTGGCGAAGTTCACATGTCTACGAAATATTTTTTTTCTTATTTCTCAGACATGCAGGTTTCCTCACGATGTTTTCCTTCACCGCCGAGCACGTGGTAAATTAGCACTTAAAATTGCAATTAACAATTTCATTGGTGCCGGCGGGGATCGAACCCGGGTTGTTCGAGTACTGTGAAGCTTACAGCGAGCGCTAACCATCTGAGCTACCACGGCTCTTACCCATATTCTATTTAAAAAAAAATCTAAGGAAATCGGGCAGTGGCAGTATAAAAATATCGCCTACCATATATTGTTCCGGTAGTGTTGTAAGAGGCGACAAAGGGAAATAAACCAAGAGACAGGAGATGAACTGCAGTGTTATCCTAAAAACTATTAATAAATAAATTTTAGGGCATTACAAATGTGGCAAATATCTTCTTTATGAGGAGATCTTTGATAGGCTGTAAGGGAAGCTTACGCCGACACGAAAATATTTCTTGCTTCAATAAAATATTACATTTATGTAAATAGTCCTACATAAATCCTTGATAAAAGAAACTGATAATCCTCGCTAATGGAAATTATCACTGATTTAAATACTATACGTAGCTGGTTGTGCCCGCGAATTATCCCGCGTGATTGTAAAATGAAAAAGAAAAACGAATTCAAGGGTTTCTTCTATAAACAACGTATATAAATTCTGAACTAACACTAAGATAATATGTCCTGTTGCAAAATCGGGGCTAAGTGTTTCATAAACAGAGAAACCATTAGGAAGCTGAATACTCGAAAATTCACGACACATCGAAATTTTTATTGTATATGAGAAAATTTAAATAAAAAAAAACTTTCTTAAAAAAGCGGAAGTCTATTGGGACAAGGTCTGGAGTATATAAGTGGTGGATGAGGAAAGGTGTCTAGTCTTAGCTCTGCTTGAGGCCGCCAATGATCCAATATTGTCATGACACTCACAGCAAAAGCCGTAAGCTCAGTCTTAGTTTGAGACGTACGCATTCACTATCAACTTCAGTTCGTATAAATTTCTTTCTGGCCACGAGTTTCCATTGCGAGGTCAAAATTTACTGAACGAAAGCTTTTTAACCAATAACTCACAGTTCGTTTGTTATTACTGCTAGGTCTACGTAGATGATACTGCTATGTATGTGTGCTGATGCAATTTGAGTCGGAAGTCATATACATAAAAAAAAACACGAATTTTCTCGTAATGAGTCCTTGGTTATAAAAATAACGATATTGCAGGAAAAACAACAACTAAAGTAAAAATGAATAACTGCTTTTGAAAAGCCTTAAAAATAAATTTTATGTCAAATTAGTATTCTGAGTTAAACCTTTATTGCAGTTCAACGTGGCTACTTCAACAAAACTACGTTTTTGTAGGTAAAGACCTGATTTTCTTGATAGTAACATTACGCAAATTATACTTATTTAAGACAAACTAAGTTATATAAAGAGTGGATACGTTAGTATAGTAGATATGCATTAAGCGCTTAGCTCAATCTGCTAAAGCATTTAGAAATTGCTACAACATCTTAGAACAAGGAGAAAGTCGAATCAAATGTATAAAGGAGGTCGTGCGTCATTTGATGCCATAAAACAATATTATGAAAGTATTACACCTATAATATAATTATTGGCGTATAAGTGCTGCGAAAATTCTCTTTTGATGATAAGGGGTTAAATAACAAATTAAAACTAATCGTAATCTAGTAATGATAAGGATATGAGAGAGAAGATGAAAGAAAGATATAGGCTGCAGAAAGTTCACACGAAAGCACTGATTGAGGAAGTGCGTGAAAGGTGTAGAATGGAAGCGGACGAAAGGTTGTCGCACAACTTTAAGGAGAACTCCAAACTCTTCTGGAAAGAGGTTGGAAGGACCCGAAGTGGTGCGACGGCCTTAAGAATGAACAAAGTGCTTTCGAGAACTAATGACGTCCTCTCAGAAAAATCGGACGTCATGCAGCGATGGAGCGAATTTTATAGAGAAATGTATGCGTGTGATGACCTTAGTGAGGGATCCGGGGATGACGCCGTGACTGGTACGCCAGACCCGGACCTCGATGACACTGAGGTCATCAGTATGAAAGAGATTGAACGTGCGATTCGAAGTTTGAAATGTGGTAAGGCTGCGGGACTAGACAGAGTTACTGCTGAAATGGTCAAGTATGGTGGGCCTCGCGTCTGGGACAGCTTTCATCTGCTGTGCAATTTGTGCTGGCAGACGGGGGATGTCCCGGATGATTGGCGATCCGCAGTCATTGTGCCTTTATATAAAGGTAAAGGTTCACATTTTGACTGCGGGTGCTATCGGGCGATCAGCTTGACCAGTTTAGCAAGTAAAGTTTACTCGAAGGTTTTGACACGTAGGATGCAAGAGAAATCGGAAAGATTTCTATGGGAGGCACAATGCGGATTTAGACCTGGAAGAGGATGCACGGATCAAATGTTTTCTCTCCGCATGATCACGGAGAAGCTTCTGGCTGCTAACCAGAAGATTTTCTGTGCTTTTGTGGATCTTGAGAAAGCATTTGATAAGGTTGTAAGGAAGAAAATGTGGGAACTGTTGCCGGGGTATGGTGTGGATGGTCGATTGCTAAGGGCTGTGCAGTCTCTTTACTGTGACTGTAAAGCCTGTGTGCGGGTAGGACATGACCTGTCACCCATGTTTGACGTCCAAACGGGCGTAAAGCAGGGTTGTGTCATGTCTTCCTGGCTGTTCATACTGTATCTCGACAGCTGTTTACAGAAACTGAAAGATAGCTGTTTGGGTGTGAAATTGGGTGACATTAAAGTAAATTGTCTGTTGTATGCTGATGATGCAGTACTTATAGCACCATCAGAGGCAGAACTGCAGGCATTAGTCACGTGTATGAAAGAGGAATGTGAAACTAAAGGTCTCCGTTTGAATGCTAATAAAACTAAGGTTCTGGTATTTGAAAGGGACGTAGAGAGAACGAAGTGTGAAATATGGGTAAATCAGGAATGTCTAGAACAGGTAAATGAAATTGTATACTTGGGGAGTGCTTTTAGCCGGGATGGAAGATGTGATTTAGATGTGGACAGGCGTGTCGCTGCCGGGAACAAAGTCAATGGTGCCCTGACTGCGTTAGTCAAAAGGCAAGGCGTAGCGAAGAGTGCACGCCTTGCAATACATAACGCAGTGTTGGTACCGACTTTGTTATATGGCAGCGAAACCTGGGTATGCCAGAAGAAGCATAAAAGTAAGTTGAATGCAGTGGAGATGCGATCTCTTCGTAAAATGTGCGGCGTTACCATGGCCGACCGAAAGCGAAACGAAGAGATTCGCAATATGGCAGGTTTGAAAGATGACCTTATCACAAAAATTGATAAGAGCGTGCTTCGGTGGTTTGGGCACGTTGAGCGAATGAGTGAAGACCGAATGGTGAAGAAAATATATAGCGCGAAAGTTAATATTAAAAGGTGTCGAGGTAGACCGAGACTAACTTTCGAAGACCATGTGAGCAAATTGCTCGAAGAGGGTAGGGTCAAAAGTACTCGGATACCTAGACGTGCATGCATGAAGAAGATAATGAATCTGAAAGAAGCGAAAGAGGTTTGTAAGGATCGTGACACTTGGCGATCTGTTCTCTCTGGCTACCCCGTCAGGGATTGTGCGTGAAGATAAGTAAGTAAAACTAATCGTAAAATATTAAATTATAATGCAGCACAAGGCAGTCTACGACTGCATATATTTTAGCCGAGAAAACTGTAAAATCTAGCATCGGAGACATGGCGGAATATTTAAAAAAAATGTGATATGTCTAGGACAGCGCGACCGTTTAATAAACTAGTGTGAAAGTTTGGAAATGACAGAATTTTTTAAATGGATCTAGTATATAGTCTAGCGACTGTATGTAATTTTTGTTGTATATAAATATTTTCTGGATAAAAACATAAAAAAATATTAAATTTCTATAGATAACATTTTCTTTAGCGTTAATTATCGCTAATGGCACGAGTAAGATAATGCGAGTTAACTTTCTAAGATCATGCGTACATTTGCAATACTAGAACTAAATCCCGATCACTTAACGATGGTTTCAGGTGTTGTCAGTCAGTGTATGCGTGGCATTAAATTTTGACAATTAAGAAAAAGAAGGATACTAAAAGCAATAAAAGAAAGTCCCAGGAATATACGCATAATTATGTAGCATAATTCCCCCGTTTGTTAAAAAGCACTCCCTCAAAATCATTCATTCATTAATTATTATTAAAAATTAGCGTTAACATAGAATTTGAAATTATTGAATGCTCATTAAGACCAATACGCATGTTCCCATTAGCGTTGTTTTGTTTAAAAGATAAGTTATTCAATATTTGAAATCTTTTTAAACATTTCTCTATGTTCCTTTATAAAAGTTATATAGAAACCGGAATTTAATGGATTCCACTTCTCCCGAATCTCGACCAAGTCTGCCTAGGATTCCACTTGGGAACACCCATACCTATTTCTGACGTCAGATCCAGTGCACACCTAAGTGTTCTAGTTAATGGAGGGACAGGCAGTATAATAAAAGATTATGGGACATTTCATCTTAGTCTTCAGGGAACGCATCTGTCGTCATCTCTGTTTTTTGTTGATTACAGATGGGGTACATGAGATGCATTAATCAATTATCACTCAGCGGCCCTGTTATCTTGTACAGTACCTACTGTATTAAAAAAGGTAAATCATGCAAATCAGACACGCTAGTTACATTACCTGCTAAGATTGCTTTGTGCGCCTGAAACTCCCGGCCGCCGACGGCCAGCGTGACGTCGGAGAAGCGCTCATTGTCGAACAGGGCGCCGAGGTCGTCGGACAGCCGGCACTCGGGCACCTTGAATTGTACCACATTGCTCTGGCCGCTTATGTTAATGCTGTCTGCGACCACCGACACTTCGCAAAATATCGTCAACTTGTCCTCGGGTAGCAGGCCGTTTGCCTCGTCTAGCAGGAAGTCTCTGTAATTTACGATGTTTACAGTTAGCGTTTAGTGGTAAAAGGAAATCTTATATTATTAATCTTAAATAGACCAAACCTACAGTCTTGTGATGGGATGATACTGCTCGTATTGTCCGTGTGCGAGGATTTGGGTTTGCAGCTCAACAACCCGCCTATTGAGACTTGAGAGTGGTGCTTCCAAAATTTGTTCATCTTCTAGTAGAAATAACGCATAAGTTTATGTTCAGCAGTGGACTATAATATAAATAGACTGATGACGGTAAAATTTACAGTAAATCCTCTTCGGACCCATGCCAAGCAGTTGATTATTATGGTCTAATGAAGAAGTTGAGCCTTCTGTAATTTGAAACTAAATAGCTTTTGAGTGGAAACGAAAAGATTGTGCATGTAATATGTATTTTTTTTAAATTCGTTGTATAAAATTGTCACTAAAGTGGTGGAATTCTGCTTTGAACTTTGATTGCTTTAATATGTGTCGTATGGTAGTGGCGTTTAAAAATTCATCACTGTATATCCTTCTTTGAGTGTGATGTGAAGACATAAGGAAAAAGATGATTCCAGATATACGGCGTTATAAGCCGAACATAAAAATCCCAGATCGGGAGACCATTGTTCGGTAAACGGCAATGAATTGTTTGCAAGCTGATGAGGAAAATAATACAGTGAGTTAAGTGTAGTGAGTTATAATAATTTAAATGGTTTATCATTAGTATTTGCACTATTCTATTAGTAATGGTTCGATCTAAAATCTTTGTATGGGTAGTGCTATTGGGAAGCAAAATTCCAAAACAAAACTACACAGACTAGTAATGGGAAGCAGTGTTGCCAGTGCAAGGGTACTTCAGCTCTGCATTTACCAATCCACTTGCCCAGTCAGATACGAATGGACCAATCTTTAGATTCATGCATGCTATTTAGCACATTCTTGAAAAAGGCTATAGGAAGGCTGTAATGCAAGGACTCATAGGACAACCACAGAATGAAACACGTTAATGAATTCCCTCCAGACATTACCACACGATACCAGCAATTCGAGCATTGTTCTATTCGTTCTATTAGTAGGTTAGAGAGCAATAGTCTTTAAATATTATAATCGTAAAATGTCAATTTCTTCTATTTGAAAAAAAAAACCCACTAGGTATATTTAAAGTGATGCGTATATTATGTTTGGTGCATTTTTGGGGATAACACAGCAGTGGATTCATAAGCCCGATAAATAAAAATCACCACTGGATTCAAAGACTAAACGTGATTCGAAGCAATATAAGCTATGTTTGAAGTATGTTACACGTTAAAATTATTAATAATAAATAAAATACCCAATAAAATTATTATAAATTATTATTATTTAGAGACGTTAGTGTACACTATCCTATCTATTTAAATATAAATGATTTAATTCCTATTTTTTTTTTATAAGATAAGGGCAACAAACGAGCACATAGTCCACCTGATGATAAGTGGTTGCTGTGGCCCATAGAGATCTACATCTATCCTCAACTAGGAATCAAAATGCAGATGCATTGTCACCCCTGAGGACTAAGATGGAATGCCTCGTTTCCAGTAAATAGGGTGGGTCTCCGGTTCTCTACACTCACCATACGAAACACAGCAGCATTGAGATGTTATTTTACGCTGGTATTCTGTGAGTAGCTGCATCATGACTCTACCACGTATAAAATTTAATTATTGGAATTACATTTCACGATTCTTGGACGCGGGAATCGAAAGTACCTATATTCGTAGATTTTTTATTCAAATCCCAATCAAAGGCAAGATTTATGCAAATATATTAATGCAAAATAACACATTGAGAATGCATTCTAGTCTACATTCGGTCTAATTTACTAAGCTATAAATCTCACATCAGTTACTCAGGTAAAGAAACCTGTTTAAAATGTTCCGCGAATAGCTCCCAAACGTTATTTATTCAAAAATCGCCATGGCATAAAGATCATCATCATGTTTGTCTATTTATATCAATAGACCAATTGCATAAGTTTTTTTTTTCTTTAATCAATTTCGATTAACGTACAAGGTAGAAGTCTGATAATTCAACACTCAACAGCACGCTTCTATAGTCTCACATAAGGTTAAATACCGATGACATAATTTTATTGAGGCAAATGAGGAGTGCCGTTCATAGTGCCATAAAAGGCGCCCGCTTCCGGCTTGAACCAATTGCTCTAGGAATCAATTGTATTTAATGAATTGATTTGAAAAAATCTATATTATCACATTCATGATATGAAAAAAATTAAAAGGATTTTTTTTTTTACATTTAAAGTTGTTAGGGAAATTAACAAACAATTCAAACCTTATTTGTCTTCTACACTTAAACTATTTATACAATTGGGCAGTTATGTTCTACGTTTTCTTATCGATTTTTTTGTGTTCGAAGGCTAGGTATAGTCACGTGTATTAATAATTATATCATTCATAAACTTTGAACCTTATTTCAATGGCATAAAGTTCACTAGTTGTTTTAAAGACTTATCACAGTCTACTATTTAAATTATAGTGACTGAATGTTTAATAAAAAGGCTAACTATAATTAATATGATAAAGGCACTTACCTTCTGATAAACTTTTTGAAACCCCAATCTTTTCCTTGAACAAATCTGTACGCTCGCTGCGACTCCATCGCCTTGGTCTCTTCTCGCTTCGCGTTTAATATTGAAAACTTGAACTTTGCCCGTACTTCTGATTTATTACACGACACTAATAATAAATATAACGATAAGTAGTCTTTGCTCTCTTCGTCTAGACCTTTTGGGTTCACGCGAAGACACCATTTTAACTTGTCACTAGCACCGGCAGAGAATGTCGATGATTTTAACACTTCACCCATCTCTTCTCTACAGAAACTAAAATTGTTTATAGTCCACATGTAACTAAACTTCACCACCTTCACCTGCAACAAAAAAAGGGCTGCCGTTACATAATTGTGACGAATATTTTATCAATGTTCATATTGATAATGTTAGCACAACAATGAAAACAATATCTTTTAATTTGCCTTAAAGTATATGAATGTATGATTACACTCCGAGGAAGCGTCGAACGTTCGAGAGGTCTTGTAGGTCTTGCTGTGTAGCGATTCAGACAAATTCTCCTTAAAATGGAAGAGGCCCATGCCCAGGCGTGAACCTCTACGTACTAATAAAGAAGACGAAGAAGGGATAATTCAGCTTTTTCTGAATATACTCTCATATAGACAGACGAGGTTCTAGTGAACGACCAATTTTTGTTTAATGTATTATCTCGGAATACATAATAGTATTATGTGATACACATCTATGGTAACAAATGTTAGTGACTAACAGTTATTTTTGTTAAGGCATTCATTCATTCATTCATTCATTACAGCCCTTTACTAGTCCACGCCCGAACATAGGCCTTCCCTAAGGAGTGCCATAAAACAGTTCTGAGCACGCTTTATCAGGTCGTCACTCCAACTAGTGGGGACCGACTACCTAGTGCTCTGTGGCAACCCCGGTGGCAAGCTGTAAAATAATTGCTCCCAACTATTTAAAAAAAATTAATATTGTAAATTGATAATATCCACCTAAATTTTGTGTTACAGTTGTTAAATACGACTTATTAGTATTGGTGAAATAAGTAAAAGTGAAAATTACTTATTTTAATTACATTGTGTTTAGTGTTCCAACCAAAAGTGACAGCTGTAACGAACATCATTTAAACTTACTGTAAGTGTAATTCTTGTTATCCCTTTAACATTTTAAAATTTACCTTTTAAGTAAGTGTTGTTCTGGATTTCATTTTGAATTATTTACATGATAATTTAATTTGAGATCTGTAAACTTAACACTCATTATTTTCACCTACACTCTATGATAGTGCCATGACAAAGAATATAAACTTATAAAGTAATTTAAATATTTAAAAAAAGTTATTATGTATAGTGATGACATAAATTTGGGCATGATGTTAATTAACTGTTTAAAAGAGCATCTGGTTAGTAATTATTGCATGCCTGGAGCATCCTTTAGTCATATCTATACATATATGTAATAACTCTGTAGAAAAATTGTGTGTTCACGATTCACACAAAACTACCAAACTAATTTCCGTGAAATTTTGTATGTAGGCAGTAAATAACCACGTATAACATATAGGCAACTTTTTATCCGCTTACGGAAGAGTAAAAAAAAGGTTATGTCTTTTATTTTATTTTTAATAGCTGATTTAATAGCTAAAGAGGATTTAGCTATTAAATCTATAGAAAAGTGTGTGTGTGTGTGAAAATGAAACTCATTGCGCCACCAACCAGTATGGGCAGAATAACGTCTGTCGGGCCAGCTAGTAGTGAATAAAGTTTTAGCTAGTAAATTTTGCCCTAACATGAAAAGCACATTAATAATTCTTGTTGGGAGAGAAGGCAATGTAAACAAAAAATCAATTATTAAAATATATTGATAATCTAAATACTTTAAATGTAAAATTATTTAAATTATAACTCCTAGAGATTACCTGTATTGTCCCATTTTCCAAATAAAAGTAGTTTTACAAAAATAAGTGATATTCATTCTGTAAACACTAGGAACAGACGCAAGCTAGTAGTACCAGTTACTAGACTCCACCGAGTCAGTAATTCATTCTTGAGGCGATGTATACGCTTTTCCAACAAAATCCTAGAAAATATACAAAATTTGACCTGCTCAAAGTTCAAAAACTTTATTAAACTAAGCTTGCAAAAAAAGGGTTATTACAATATTAAGGAATGTATACATGATAATAACCCCTGGGAATGAGGTGATCTCTACCAAGCTATTTCTAATTTGTTGTGTTGTTAATTGTGTAACATACATGATTGTAAGCTATTTAAAAAACGTCCCGCTGGGTTTCTTGCTGGTTCTTCCCAGGACAGAGGGTTTTTTTTTAAACAATGGTAATTAAACAAAAGAGTGACTTTCAATAAGTATTACATATAATATTAATCTATATTGAATAAAAAAGTGTAAAGGCGTAATTTTTACTTTGCAAATTTATAAAAAAGAGGTACTCCAAAAGGGCGCATTGAAGTACAGGTTAGTCTCCAAGCGACCGGATGCAGGAAACGCATAAATAATGGATGCTGAAGGACATAAACTTGTTGCGCGAAATTAAATCGTTAAACCTTGCAAAGTTTACGGATTTTAAACTGCCGAATCACTTAAACAAATTATTTTAAAAGCTCCGAGTGAAAGTTTGAACGTGTTATGGTATCAAATTTCTAGCAAATAAAGTTTTTATTAATTTCACAATCCAAAGTCAGTTGTATTATATAGAGGTAAATCTAGAGATATCTTTATATCCACAGCTGAATACAATATCAATGTTGTTTGAAAAGAACATAATTATTGTTCGTAATCAGTTGAGTATTCAAGGCCTGGATAAAATGTCAACATTCGTTGGCACATTATAGCGGTCTAAATTACACACTCCACTGTGATGTTCATGCAGTAAGTTTGTCTCTGTTTTATTATTATTATATGTAGTAACGGTATTCTGTACACCAAAGCAAATAAATAGTATAATAAGAATGCATTGCAAGCCCTAGCGTCCGAGTCTTTCCAAATATAAAGGTTATTAAAAGGAAGAGTATTCGTTATTTACATGCACCCAGGGAAGTTGCAGGGAATATTCACTAGGCTTTGAAAAGACCCCAAAACAAGTGATAGGTACATGAGCGCATGGTCTGTCGGGGGTCATGAGGACTAGTCGAAGTATCGTCCGCAGACAGGCTGGTCGTTGCCCCCAAACCGTTGCTTGGCTTGCGGGCTTGCGGTGCTGCTGGGGTCTTCGCCCGGTCACCGACCCGCTCCAAGGCCGACCGCATCATCCCCGCGCGTTTGTGGACGCACCTTACAGATAACGCTTGCGAATACTTAAGCTCACACACGATACTCTTTTCACCATCGTTATAGGCTTGACGAGAGCGTCATAATACGTCTATTTCAATTTATGTTAAATTCGTATAATAACAGTAGCACTACATTCACAATTTGCACCATGTGAGAGCACTATAAAAATGATACGCCTCGTATGGTTCAGAAACAGAGAATACGCGATTTAGGACTAGCACTAATTAACTATGATTTAAGCGAAATTAGTGGCGCTTTATTATCTTCAACTACATAACAACTTAGTATCAGGTGGGACAGTAGTCAAGTATTGGCTTATAATTGGTAAAAAATATGGTAATCTCGTACGTACGTATAGGTACTTATAGTTTATGTGGCCGTGAATTTTTACCAAATTTTAATTTTACGAAACAGAACATTTCTGCGCTTTTGTCAGATATTCGTTAGTAATCAACTTCTCGACAGTATGACAAAATATCTCTGACTGACTCACGTACTCCTTATCACTGCGAATTTGAAAAATGCGATAGATAGCCAATCTTGTCATTTTCACATCTACTTTTAAAAACGGAGATTTAAAAATAGAGAAAGGAGAGTAATTAATAACTTACATTCGATAATTCATTTAGATAGAACACTTATCGAAACGCCTAAATAATAATGTACATTTAAAAAGATAAATCATTTTATCGTAATAATTCATCTAAACGTGCTAAGTCCAATGGCAAGAGGTATTATTTATACAAAGCAATAAATTACGAATCCGATGTTAAAGTTAATACTGCAATGTAAATTGTATTCACAACATAGACACGTGGAAGTCAGGGCAAGTTGGCGTTCACGTGTTCTAAGGTTTGAGTTATTCTAATAATCTGCATGAGGAGAAACCTACAAGGAAGTACTCTTTGTAATTATTGCGCAATAATTTAAGCGACTACTTATTACTTCTACTTAATTGTGCTCGCGGATAATACTAGTATTGTGTTCTAGAATAAAATAATATTACGTTATGTACGTGTCACATTTAAAATAATCAACTGTTTAGTAATAAAGGATATAGTTTTGCAATGTCTTGCGAACGTGTTAAAAGGAAATAGCACTGAGAAATTATTAATTAAAAATTTAATTAATATATATTTCTCTATTTATTTCTGTATTTTATATAAGTGGAGACGCAGGTGAGATCAGTGATTTAAGACTGAGTTTGAAAGATTGGAAGTTCTTTGCAAGACGTTTTTCACGTGGTAGAGCCATGCTGCAGCTATATTAGTAGTATAGTTGTAGCACGAATGGGTCTGCTCGACCGGGGAAGGACCACGCTCTCACAGAAAACCAGCGTAAAATAGCAGCTTAACGCTGCTGTGTTTCGTATGGTGAGTGTAGAGAACCGGATACCCTTTTCACTGGAAAAGAGGCATTCCATCTTATTCCTCACGGGTGACAACGCATCTGCATATTGAGACTTTATTGAGGATAGATGTAGATGTCTATGGGTCACAGTAACCACTTACGCAATAAGAAAGATTGTACCCTAAGAATAGTTTTCTTAGAACTAAAAACATGTAGTTAAAAGTATTTTTTTTGCTTGTACCTATAGGCACAATATTAATTGGTTAATTTTAAAATATGTACCTAAATCGACTTCAAACATCGGATCTATTTTATTAATCCCACCAAAAAAATTATGAAAAAAGGGGGCCTAGTTAGGTACAAACGACGCTCAGGGTTGTCAGCATCGCAGATAAAATTTGTAGTTGTAATCTGAACGTGTGCCAAGCTCCATAAGGTAGCACTTGCTTAAATTATAGCATGTATAACGATTCTTAAAACTGCTAATAGAGCTTGGCACCCGTAAGGGCTTAAACTTTTTTTATCGGCGAAGCCGACAACTCCGAACACAATTGTATAGAATTTTACCCTTTTAACATGTTGTTTATGGTTGGATATCAATATTATTTTTAATTTTTCAACGAAATCTTTTATATTTTTATTAATCTAAATGAATACATGACCAATACATATACACATTGCTGTTTTCTATTTTTAC